CCGCAGGGCCCGCCTCTCCCTAGCTCCCGTGGGGGGGGGGGCGCCCAGCTCAGAGCCCCCCCGCAGGGCCCGCCTCTCCCTAGCTCCCGTGGGGGGGGGGCGCCCAGCTCAGAGCCCCCCCGCAGGTTCCGCCTCTCCCTAGCTCCCGTGGGGGGGGGCGCCCAGCTCAGAGCCCCTCCCAGCGGGACCCAGCCCCCAGGCCCCGCCCGGCCCGGCCCGGCCCCACTCACGGCTCAGGGGTCTCCTCTCTCCCCCGCCCCAGCTGGGTCTCAGGCTGCGGCCTCCACTTCCGCCTTTCAGCTGCTCCGTTTCCGGATCCGCCCACCCCTTCCGCTCCGGCCGGGCGGGGTGAGAGGCAGCGGCCTCCGCCAATCATTGAAGCCCTGCCCATTTGGAGGCCCGCCCCTCTCCGCGCGGCCGGACGTGGGGCGCAGGATGGCGGGGCGGAGGCACGTGACGCAGCCGCGGGGACCGATGGGAGTTGTAGTCCACGAGGGGGGCGGGGCCGGGGCCGGGGGGAAGCGGCGTGGGAAAAACCCAAGGTTGAGTCGCTGCCCCTGGTGCTGCCTGGTGCCGGGGGAGGAGCCTGGGGCGCGGGGGGCGGGGCCTGGGGAGGGGGGGGAGGAGCCGGAGGTTGAGCCTGGTTGGAGGGGGAGGGGGGGGGGAGAGGAGCCGGGGGGGCGGGAAGCCTGGGGCGGGAGCAGAGGAGCCTGGGGGGGGGGGCGGGGAGAGGAGCCGGGGGTGGAGGGGTGGGGGCAGAGGAGCCTGGGGGGGGAGCGGGGAGAGGAGCCGGGGGCGGAGGGGCGGGAGCAGAGGAGCCTGGGGGGGGGAGCGGGGAGAGGAGCCGGGGGTGGAGGGGTGGGGGGCAGAGGAGCCTGGGGGGGGAGCGGGGAGAGGAGCCGGGGGCGGAGGGGTGGGGGCAGAGGAGCCTGGGGGGGGAGCGGGGAGAGGAGCCGGGGGCGGAGGGGTGGGGGCAGAGGAGCCTGGGGGGGGAGCGGGGAGAGGAGCCGGGGGCGGAGGGGTGGGGGCAGAGGAGCCTGGGGGGGGAGCGGGGAGAGGAGCCGGGGGCGGAGGGGTGGGGGCAGAGGAGCCTGGGGGGAGTGGGGACAGGAGCCGGGGGGGAAGCCTGGGACGGGAGCAGAGGAGCCTGGGGGGGGAGCGGGGAGAGGAGCCGGGGGCGGAGGGGTGGGGGCAGAGGAGCCTGGGGGGGAGCGGGGAGAGGAGCCGGGGGCGGAGGGGTGGGGACAGAGGAGCCTGGGGGGAGCGGGGAGAGGAGCCGGGGGCGGAGGGGTGGGGACAGAGGAGCCGGGGGGGGGAGCGGGGAGAGGAGCCGGGGGCGGAGGGGTGGGGACAGAGGAGCCTGCGGGGGGAGTGGGGAGAGGAGCCGGGGGGCGGGAAGCCTGGGGCAAGAGCAGAGGAGCCGGAGAGGGGAGAGGAGCCGGGGGTGGAGGGGTGGGGGCAGAGGAGCCTGGGGGGAGCAGGGAGAGGAGCCGGGGGCGGAGGGGTGGGGGCAGAGGAGCCTGGGGGGAGTGGGGACAGGAGCCGGGGGGGAAGCCTGGGACGGGAGCAGAGGAGCCTGGGGGGGGGCGGGGAGAGGAGCCGGGGGCGGAGGGGTGGGGGCAGAGGAGCCCGGGGGGGAGCAGGGAGAGGAGCCGGGGGTGGAGGGGTGGGGGCAAAGGAGCCTGCGGGGGGGAGCGGGGAGAGGAGCCGGGGGCGGAGGGGTGGGGACAGAGGAGCCTGCGGGGGGGAGCGGGGAGAGGAGCCGGGGGGCGGGAAGCCTGGGGCAAGAGCAGAGGAGCCGGAGAGGGGAGAGGAGCCTGGGGCGGAGGGGTGGGGGCAGAGGAGCGCGGGGGGGAGCAGGGAGAGGAGCCGGGGGGAGCGGGGAGAGGAGCCGGGGGCGGAGGGGTGGGGGCAGAGGAGCCAGGGGGGAGCGGAGAGAGGAGCCGGAGAGGGGAGAGGAGCCGGGGGGGGGGAGCGGGGAGAGGAGCTGGGGGCGGAGGGGTGGGGGCAGAGGAGCCGGGGGGGAGTGGGGACAGGAGCCGGGGGGGGAAGCCTGGGACGGGAGCAGAGGAGCCTGGGGGGGGAGCGGGGAGAGGAGCCGGGGGCGGAGGGGTGGGGGCAGAGGAGCCCGGGGGGGAGCAGGGAGAGGAGCCGGGGGCGGAGGGGTGGGGGCAGAGGAACTGGGGAGGGCGAGGGGGCAGGCAGCCGAGCGGGGCTGTCATTTGCCCTGGTGGCAGCAGGGCGCTCCCTTGAACAGCTTGGATCTGCCTTAGCGGCTTTGAAAGCATTCGGGCTGTGCCACCCCAGAGCTGGCCGTGACGGGGAAGGGTCCGGGGCCCGCAGGCTGGGGCGGGTGTGTGGAGGGGCGAGGAGGTGGGGGCGTTGGAGACGGGTGTGCTTTGGGGCACGGCCTGCCATGCTGTGCGCACACAGGCAGCCCTGTGCCCAAGGCTGGAGCTGGCCGCGAGGGCAGCTGGACGGGGATGTTGTTTCCAGACAGCCCGGGTGTCCCCCTCTCCCCTTACCCGGCCACGGAAGGAGGCAAACTCTGCCCAAGTCCTGCCACCAACCCAAGCGGTGCCGGGCAACCCAGCGACACACGATTCAGCCCCAGGGTGCTGGCAGGACGCAGCCCTGCCCCTCTGCCAACCCAGGCTGCTGCTCCGTGCTTAGGAGATAGTTCTGCCCCGTCCACCCCGGCTGGGTGCCGGCGGGGCTGTCTCCCCCTCTGGAGCCTGGCTCCCACGAGAGGGCTGTGCAGTGCAGCTGCAGGCCCCGGGTTCAGACACTGCTGCTGATGCATACAGGGCACGTAATGCAGCCTCCCCAGCCGTGGCTGCATTTCAGCGGTGGGCGAAGGGGATCCTGTGTGCAGAGAGCAGCCAATGAACATGGGAGAGAAAGGGGCTGGAGAAATGCGAGGTGAACATCCCTGGCGGAGGGGGACTCCCCACAGCCCCAGGAGTGGGGGCGCTATCCCGGAGAACAGCCCCAGTCTCTTCTGCAGCAGTGCCTCATGGCTGGGAGAGCAGAGTGCAGACTCTGGGGCTCAACACGCCTCCCGGGGAAGGGTGGAACCGGCAGCTGGAGGGGCCCAGGGCCCGACAGGTTGCTAGGGCAGGGGCCTGGCATTACAGGAAGAGAGAATTTAACAGCCCACCTCGCTGCAGGGTCCGTGTGGGTGCTCCGGGCTGGGCGACGGGTCCTGGGGGCTCTGGGGAGCTGTTGTGGCATTTCTGTGGCTCAGCCCAGTGCAGGGTCCAGCCCGCAGCTCAGAAAGCACAAGGAGCAATGGATGCACGGGGGTAGTGGGCCACAGGGACTGGCTGGGTCGGAGGATGGGATCAGTGACCTGCCCCCTCCCTTTGGCTTGGCCAGGCAGCCTGCAGCCACATGGCAGCCCCTCTGCCAGCCCCTGCTGACTCGAGGGCAGGTGCCGCGTTGCCAGCAGTGAGGCGCCGCGTGTTGTTTGTTGCTAGAGAGACCTGGGACCTGCTGGCGCCAGCCCTGGGCCGAGGGAGATTTGCACAGCCCTGCCCTCCTCTCTGGGGCCCGAGAGTCTGGCTGGGGCAGGGTGGGCAGAGAACCTGCGACGAACCGAGCTGCCAGAGCCAAGGCAGGGCCGTGGAGCTCAGTACGGGACCCCCCAGTAGCTGAGCAGGGCTGGGCGAGCTCCACGGAGCACGTAGAGAGCTGCGGGGGGGGCACTAGTCACCAGGGGGTGCTGCAGGTCAGCATTAAAACCGCTGCCCCCACCCGGTGCGAGAGAGCAGGGTGGGCTGCTCAGCAGGGGCGCGCTCCCCTCTAGGCCAGCAAACCGGGTGTGGCCCATCTGTCAATGGCCGAGCGCCAGTCGCCCCAGCCCCAGCGGGCAAGGACCGGTGGGTCCTGGTGCCCAAGAGCTGGGCAGGCCTGGCAGGAAAAGGAGCCAACAGTTAACTGCCCCCTTCCCGGCAGGGTGGTCCCCCTGCCTGGCTAGCCTGGGCAGGTGGATGGCACGGCACCATTGGGCGCAGGGGGCTTTGGCTGGTCCTGGCGCGCAGGCAAGCCGGTGAGGGCGGGACTCAGGCAGCGACAGGGCCCTGGGGCTGCGTGGCCTGGAGCCTGAAGCAGCCGTTGTGCAAGACCCACTGTTTGCACACACCCACCAGGCAGCAGCAGAGATAGGGGAGAGTTCAGCTGGCCCGTCTGGGTCCTGGCAGACGAAGGGCCAGCAGGGGTGGCGGGCAGGAGACTGGGAGGCCACTGAACCACTCCCTCTGAATCCGAGCCACGTGGGATGTGGAGGAGAGAAGCCAATCCCCCAGCCCCGGAACGACCTTGGCCCCTCTCCTGCTTCGGAGCAGCCAGCTCCCCCACAATGCAGCCTCCCCCACATCTGGCTGGAGAAGCTGCCGGCTGCGCCCTGGGGGCACCGCGCCCATGCGCGCCCCTGGCAGCGTGAAGCCCTTCGCCTCTCCATTGTTTCCTTTAATCTCTGCATTATTTAGTATTTATTTTTAAATATTCTTCTGGGGCAGCTGGTGCTGGGGGGAGGCGTCTAGAGGAGGGCAGCTTCCAGGAACAGCTGCCTAAGTGAGAACACTTTGCTCGACCAACGCCTTCAAGTGCGAATGCCTGCCCAGGGGGCCCAGCTGCAGCTCCAAAGGGCCTGGGGTAAGGCCCCGGACCCCTGCTCTGGCAATTCCTCTCGGGTGGCTGTGATGGCTAGCGGGTGTGGGGGTGGCGAGCCCTGAACTGGTCCCTGGGGATCCCAGCTAGCGTCGCTGGAGGGCTCCACGCAGGTGGAGCCAGCCTGTTCCGGGACAGGGGCACCCAGGAGTCTGGGAGCTGGAACAAACGGGGCCTTGCAGTGAGGGGCTCCGGGGAACCAAACTGAGCCATGGAGGCCCCCCTTCCCATTTCTCTCCAACCCCTTCTGCTCCAGCCCTGGACAGTACCACAACCCTGCCCCCTGCCCCGCCCCCGCAGCAGGGACGGGACCACCCAGAGCCAGCAGCTGGAAAAATAGAGCTTTTATTACAGGGTGTGTCTTCGCAGCACCATGGAGGTGGTGGCTGGGCAGTGGGGGCGCATGCTGGTGGCAGCCGGGCCAGGGGGGAGCCTGGGAGAGCGGGAGGGGGAGAGGAGTCTGGGGAGGGGAGCCTGGGGCGGGGGGGCGGGTGCTTCAGTGCGTGACCACCTTGGCGCCCTGAGAACGGGCCTGAGACGCCCCCAACTCACCGCATGGGACTGAGTCACCAGCACCAGCCCTGCCTGCCTGCCCGCCCGGAGCTGGGGCCGGCTTCCCTGGTGCTGGCCCAGAGCTGCCCGTCCGTGTCATCCGGGTGGGGGAGAAAAATCCCACCAGGAAATAAAAAAGTCTTAAAAAAATCTTTGGGGAAAAAAGTATCAAAAGGCTTCAACCCGCCCCCCTGGTTTGCAGAGCTGGGGCTGCAGGCCCAGAGGAGTCCCCCACCCACAAAGGCTGCACAGTGACCCCGCCAGGCCCTGCGCCCGGGGCAGTGGGAACAGGCAGCTGGAGACAGATGTGGCCAAATGATGTCTGGGCAGCAAGGGGCCAGGGTCAGGGGGCCGCACAGGCTGGGTCTGATCTGCCCGGTCCTTCTGCTCCCAGCGGGGCAATGGCAAAGCTCCTGTCAGGCCATGGCCCCCTTCGTGCCCAGTTCAGCCCCGACCATGCTGCATGGGCTCCCAGACCCAGCCCTGTGTGCCCTGCGGGCAGGTCAGCCATGCCTGCCCCGGGATTCCTGGTGGGGAGGGGCAGCTTTGGGGGTAGCGCCACGCTGGCTTGGCACCACCCGGCGTTTCGCTGCACCCCCATATCCCGTGCTGCTGCCTTCCACCTGCCCTCGCTCCCTTTCCCTGGCCAGAGCCCCCCAGGAGCGATGCAGAAACTGGCCTCCAACCTGGCCTGAGTTTATCCCGTTCATGCCAGGGGCCCAGGCACTTTTAACCCCACGTCGGTGCCTCCCTTGGGGGCTTTATGGGGAATTCCCACCTGGGCAAAGGGGCTTCCCCTGCCCTCCTAAACCTGAGCAATAAGGCCCCCGCACCCACCCCCAGCTCCCTGGAGCTGGGCTCATCCGGCCTCCCCCTGCCCCTCACTCCTTCGCACAGAGGAGCAGGAGACACTGGCCGTTTGTGGCAGTGAGGTCCTGTGAGTGGGGAGGAGGCCGGGACCTGCCACCATGTGGGCTCACGGGCACGGGGTGGCAACAGCCTAGGGGTGTCGAAATCCATTGCAGAGCCAGCCATGACCCCGCACGGCCTGCAGCCTCTGGAGGCTGGTTCGGGGATGGCTGCACGCGCCCCCGGACGAGAGGCCTCGGCCAGCGCAGAGAACACGCAGGAGCCAGGGTGGCCGGGCAGGGCTGTGTCGGAACAGACGTCACACAGAGGACGCTGACGGCTCACGCAGCGGGGCGACATGGATCTAGCACACGGGGTGGGGGGGACCTAGAACGCACTGAGCAGTGGGCTACACTTGCATGCTGGGACATGCAGTTGTGGGGAGCCGCAGCCTGGGCAGAGGGAGAGGGTTGTGTAGCAGGTGGATGTGACCCCCAGCTCCAGGGGAGTTGCTGACAGACTCCCCAAACGGGGGGAACCTGCCCGTCCCCCAGCTACGTCCGTAAGGAGCGTCCCATACGCAGTCTGAACCCCCACCTTGCAACGCCTCGAAGCTGAGCCCTGAGCTGCCGGAACACAAAGCGGCCCGGAATCGGCCTGTCGTGGAGAGATGACAGGACTGGCCCCGGGGCTGCACAGTCCAATCCTGCAAACTACCTCCCCGGTGGGGTCAGCAAGAGCTGGTCCGGCCCTGCCGGGCCTGGTTTCCAAGCGGCCCTGGAAGCAGCCCGGCTGTTCTCCAGCATTGTGCATTTCACGCAGGCTGTTCCCTCTGTAAACTACACCCGAACCGTCGCAGCCCAGCCCCACTGGGCTGCCAGCACAGCCCCCACCCCCTCAGCAGGGCCCTGACCCTGTTCAATTCAGGCAAATACGTACTGAAGATGGGAGCGGAAGGCTGCGGAGAGAGTGGCGTATCGAGCAGAGAGGGGGAGCAGAGGGGTACCTGGCTCGGTGGGGCACCCCAGGCCTGCAGGGCGCCCGTGGGGCTGGTCCGGGGGGCAGAGGACAGGCTTGTGCTTAGGGTCCTCCTAGGAGTTCTAAGGCTCTCAGAATAAATTCCTCGTCACAAAAAAACCCATCATTTTGTAGAAATCGCACCAGCTCCGCAGAGCCGTGAGCAGGTGGTGGGTCACAGCTGGAGCGGAAAGTGCCCTGGAAGAGCCGGGGGGGAAGGGGGGCTCTCATCCATCCCCCGCCTGGCCCCCAACTCTTGCAATTACACCTGCAGCCAGAAGGGAAATTGATGCTGGCAGAAATGGGGCCATCATCCCAACGACATCACCGGACACCGCTGGCGAGGCCCCCCCAGTGCGCTCCATCTGCTCGGCTCGCTGCAGCTCCCGGGCTGAGCCACGCATGGAGGGCGCGTGGGACAGGCGGCGGGGGGGCGTTAGTGGAAGTTTTCCAAGTCTGATCGGCAGCGGAGGGGTGGCGGGGGGTGGCTCTGAGCGGAGCAGTTGGGGAAGGCCGGGCTGGGGCCGGCAGGGGGCGAGGGCAGAGGGCACAGGACCCGGGAGCCTGCGAGCGAGTGGGGAAGCCTGGGAGTCTGACCGCTGAGCGGGGCAGCTTGTGTCGGTGGGAGGTGGGCCCCGTCCATGTCCGCCCGGGGCAGGCGGTAACGGCTGGAAGGCGCGTGGGATGAGTCTCTGGGAGCGTGGAGCCCCTCCGGCTCCCGCGGGCTGGCTGGGGGCGCACTCCGGGAGCCAGGGGCCTTGGCAGAGGTGGCGCCGGGAGAAACTCCAGCGTCCCCCGGCGATGGTGACGGCAGCCCTGAGGCGGAGGCGTGAGCCGAGGGCAGAAGGGGTGGCACCGTCCCCGGGGGCAGTCTGGATGGCGGCTCGCTCCCGCTGCTGGGTTTCGGGGGCTGGGAGGAGAGCACGGGGAGGCCGTAGGGGCAGGCCAAGGCTGGGGCGCACGGCAGCGGGCTCTGGAGCAGGTACATCGTGCGCTGCAGCTCCCGGCTGAGGTGGGAAACTTCCTGGTTGAGGTTGTTGATCTGGAAAGAGACAAAAACCGTGCCGAGCGAGGGGACAGCGCCCTGCGCCCTCCCCACCACTCCCCCGGCCCCCAGCTCAGCAGCGCCCCGCACTGGTACCAAGCATGGCCGGGCAACGCTTCATGCTGGCTGTCGCCCCCCTTCCAAAGGAGAAGCAAAGGGGTCTGGGAGCATGGGGCAGGGATGCCCCTTTGGATCCGGCTGCTCCGGAATCTGCAGCCAGCGGAGTGTGGATCAGGACGGGGCTGGCGGTGGGTGACCGGGGGGAGTGTGTGTCTCAGTGTTGCTATGACGCACACCCAGAGGCAGCAGCCTATTTAGCGCCTGCCTGCAGCCCCAGGACAGCCTCTTGGGGCTCTTTGACCGCATGCATCCATGTACCCTGACCTCGGACCGCGCGGGACACGTGCCCCGACGTGCCCACTGGGCCTATTACCCTGTGTTTTGTTCACCAGCCCCATTGGCAACGCACCCCAGGGAAGTGGCTTGTTTCCTGCTGCTGCTGTTTGACAGGAAAAATAAGCAGAGCAAGCAAGAGACCTTTTGTTATTGTAGGTCCTATAGAAAACAAATGGCTAGTGGCCACTGCTGTTACTTCTCTGCCGGGCTGGCCAGTTTAACCTCCTGCTGGATCCGGGTTGCTCAGTGCTCACCCAGCAGCCCAGGGTACCAGCCCTGTCTCTCCTGGGGGCCGCTGTTTATCGTGAGCACTGGCTGCAAAGCAGAGGAAAGCCCAGAGGGCCAGGGCCCAGCAGCAGCCCCAGCACGCTGCTCAGCCTCAGAGGGGACGCGCTCTCCCTCAACCCGGCCCCACTGGTTTTACTGGGCTAGTCTGTGAGCTTCCACACTGGCCACTGAGCGCCTTGGCCACGGGCCATGGGGGACATAATGCAAGGACCTCCCTCGGGGATGCAGAGCACAGGATCTGATGCCGACATCAAGGCTGGTTACGGGCATTCTCGAGCCCTAGCACGACCCTGACATTAAGCCACCCTGAGGCTGCTCTAGCTTACGCCAGGAAACATTTCTGTCCCTACAGCAGTCTGGACAGGACAAAGTCAGCATGCTGCTCCCCCAGGCTGCACCGAGCAAGCTGCCTCGCTCAGGAGCTGCCCCCAGTATGGGGGGCAGAAGGCTACAGAGACCCTGCCTGCTGCCCCTGAGGGGTGCCCCCAAGAGTAGCGTACCCTACCCTCAAGCACGCAGCCCAGGGGGAGGTGGGAGCAGGGCACAGAGGGGGAGGGGCTGCTCCTGGAGCTGTGTTTGTTGCTATGAAATCGTTACAAAGAGAGCCTGTGCTCATTTGAAACCCGATCGCCTGAGTCAGGGCACAGCCGCCAAGCGGCGAGGGCTGCCCGATCCGGAGCGGGCTCAGCGCTGGGGGTGGGGAGCTGCCAACAGCTGGGGTCACTTCACCTCCTGCAGAATGCCCCAGGCAGCAGCGTGCAATGAGCCCCGCTCCGGAGGGGGCAAACCGGGTCGGTTGGTGCCGGTGGGTCCAGGCGGATGCGAACCCCAGGAGAGCCAGCCCTGCAGCGCCCACCTCTCCCCCCCAGCCCCGGCCGCAGGGGCTCCAGGCTGTACCTCTTGGTTCAGTCTGCAGACGTTCTGCTTGATCTCCTCCGCTTCTGCGCCTAAGGCTGGGCTGGCCTCATCCGTCCCTGCAAGGAACCGCAGACGGATCTCAGGGGAGGGCAGCGCGCCCCCATGGGCCTTTGACCCCAGCCCGCTGTGACTCGCGGCCGTGCCAGGACAACTGGCCGGGGGCAAAGCCTCCCCGAGTGAGCCCTGCATCCATTCGCCTGTCCCAGCATTGGGACCGGCCGACCCCTTCGGACACAACCCCGCTCCCGCCAGGCCTTATTCCGGGCCCAAGCCCTGAACGCTCAGAGACAGAGGAGCTTCTGGCTGGGCGGAGTGGGGCGGGGGGGACCAGCTACTCCAGCCCCCGCTGCGCAGCCCCCCGGCCCCCCCCAAGCTGTTCAGGCCAGGCTGGGAGGAGTTGGAGCTTTTCCGCCAGCATCTGAACTAGCCGCTGCTCATCCCAACGCGGTGCGCTTGGCTTTGCCTCCAGAGCACCTGCCAGCCAGGGGCTACAGGGACCGAACCAGCATGAGGGGCTTCACCCGCCCCATCCCCCCAGGGGCCGGCCAGGATGAGTAACGTGCCTGAGGGCGCACGGGGAGTCAGGGCTAGGGATAGGGCTCAGGAGTCCTGACCGCCTGCGCTGTGCTCCAGCCTGGCAAACCCGCTCCCCTCCAAACCCTGGGGCAGGCAGTGCCCCAGGCCCAGAGGAAACAGCCGCTTACTCATGTCAAGCCATTCTCCCCGGGACAGAGCGTGCCTCCGAGCCCCGGCGCCGTCTGGCCCAGAGCCGGGACAGCCCCGGGGCAGCAGGCAGTTACCGGAAGTCAGCGAGTCTGCGACCGAGCTCTGCAGAGGCGGCTCCACGTTGAAATGGAAGGTTTGCCTCTCCGACGTCCTGCCATCATCCTCGATCCCATCAACGACCCTACGGGGGGGTTCATCCTACTGGCATGATCGGCTGGCACAGCGCCGCTGGGCATCGCTAACCGGCCCCTTTGCCTCCCTAAAGCCTCTTGGGCACGGGTGGAAATTCAAGCACTGCCAGGCAGAACCCGACTGGGGCATGGGGTCTGGGCGGCCTGGAGGGACTGAGTCTGGGCTACAGACCCTCTTACCCCGGGCTCGCTGGCTCATATGGGGCAACTCCCAATGATTTCACTGTGGCCAGCTGAGCATGGCAGCTGTTGCCACCAGGTGCCTGAGGTGAAATGAGCAAGTGGGTCTCAGCCCTGATCCAGGTAGATGACTCCATGGGCCCATCCTGTCCCCACCCCATGGCACTAACCGCCCACCCCCCATGCTGGCAGTACCAGGAGAGGCCAGGACAGGTGGGGCCGGCTCAACGGGAGGGGTGTGGGCGCATGGCATGGCATGGGGGGAGAGAATGGTCCCAGGGACGTGGGGCGTACTAATGAGTTCACCCCTGCCAACGTGCACAGGCGTGCAAGCACACGGCGATGCACTCAGATGTGTGCAGCCGAGGCAGGCGTGCAAACCTTCACACACCGGTTTGGTGGGTTGCCCCACGGCTGCAGGGTCCCAAGAACGTGGTGCTGCCAGTCCTTACCTGGGGCTCAGGTCCGGGGGGCCGGCGGTGTGCAGGGAGGGGATGAGGAGCTTGGCTGGCTTGCGGCCATTGCTGCTCTCGCCGTCTCTCAGACACCGTGGCGAGGGGCTCCTGCCCTGGCTGCAGCGGGCGGGGGAGCGGCAGGTGCGGCGCAGAGCCGAGAACTGGCGCAGCTCGTCGCCCAGCAGGCTGCTGAGGGAGCCACACCGCATGGGGCTCTGCAGGGTGGGCAGCAGCAGCTTGCGGTGGGTCCGGCGGGTGGGCGAAGGGTGGAGCCCCTCCTCGTCCTCCAGGATGGAGTGTAGGGGCTTCTCGGGGCTGGCGCCGTTCTCCGGGCGAGGCTGCGGGCAGAGGGAGGAAGCTGGGTGACGAGGCGAGGAGACTCGCCCCAGGGCTGCTGCACCTGGCGCTAGCTTGAAGGGCAGGACAATCCCCTGGGGAAATGCCCTCCTGGCATCGCTCAGCCAGGCCAGTGGGGCAGGGAGAAGAAGGGCCCCTCAGGGACTTGGCATCGCGGTGTGACTGCAGCCAGCCCCTCTGCACTCAGCTCCCGAAGCTGGCGTTAAGCCCTGAGCTCAGTGGTTCAGCTCAATCCACCTGCAGGCTGAGCCAGGAGGAGCTGCCGCGTCTCCGTCCCCACTGCTGCCCAGCCCAGGGGCATGGGAGCGTCCTGCTCGGAAAGGCCCTGAGAGCGGGGGAGTCACTCTGGTGAGCGGCCACTTCACCCGCGTGTTGCGTTTGGGTTCAAATGAGCCCCTGGCACTAATACGGAACACAGGGGGTGCGAGCAGCTGCCAACCCAGCCTGGCACAAACCCAACCTACCTGGGATAACAGAGGGGATCTGGGAAATCGCAGGAGCCCCTGGAAACGAAGCAGAGAAAGGCTCGTTAGTGCCGCCCAGCAAACTCCATTCAGACCAACATCCACTGGGTATCGGCAAGCCACAGCCAGCTCCGATTAGCAACCTGCTGCTGGGTTGGCAGAGGAGGACCCTGAGCAAACGCGCACATGGGGACACGGCGCTGGGGATCCTCCTGGCTCCGGACAGGAGAGGCAGGAAGAGGTTTCCCCACCAGTACTGGGACAGTGTAGCCCAGCCCTCCAGGCACCGTGTCTCTGTGTCAACGCCCACCTCTGCCCCGCCGCCTGTGTGGAATCTCGCTGCTCTGTACCTGACCCGTATGTACACCACCGCCTGTGATCCCCTGCCCCGGCCGCTGTCGGCAGGGACAGTCCCTAAGGGTCTGGAAGGCAGCTGGCACGTGGTGGGCACGACCGCAAACAGCACGTGGCCTGGGTCACTGGCAGAGCCTGAGGAGAGGGAGCCCTGGCCTGATGGAAGTGGCTTGTCCAAGGAGATGATGAGGGGATCTCCGTGATTCAAGCTGGATGTAGGGACCAGCGACCACCTGATGCTCAGCCTTGGGCCAGTGCCGCAGCGAACAGGGAAGGTTCTCCTCTCGCGCCCCACAGCTCCAGATCTCCCGGCACTCGGGTGCTGCCACGGATGGGCCCCGCGGAAATACGTGCCATCTCCAACCATCCCGCTTGGTGTCCAGGGAAAATCTTTCACTCCCGCAGCCTGGGCTTCAGACCTAGGGCTGCTCTGCTCCCATCGCAGAGAATGGCTGCCCTGTTTCCTGCATCTTCACCCCAGATTGGGAATGGCTCTCCACTTCCCAGGGGCATCGGGGGCTTGAGCCAGTGTCCAAACGAGTGTCTGCTGAGAGGGCAGAATTGCCCAAAAGATGCCCCCGGCAGGAGGTCAGCTGGAGGCTGGGAGCAGCAGGGTGAGGCTGGAAGAGACGGAGCCATGCCCAAGCGGAGGCCTCAGGCTTGTGGATTTTACCACCAGGGTATATTTTACCAGCTCCTCGAGGCCAGATTCCACGGGGCCATGAGGGGGGCTGGAGGGGAGTGAGGGTGGGGGGATGACAAAAGCCTGGGGAGAGGGAGACCTCACAGCCTGCCCTTGAGAGTGGAAATAGGTCACTTGGGGGGGAAGCTGCCCCACGCAGGGAGTCCGGCACAAGGCCAGGCACTGCTTATCCCTCACTCCAGAACCACAAGGCCCAACGCCGCTCAATCCTGCTTCAAGTCCTAGTGGTGCCTAGGCCTGACGCTGGCTTTGCATCAGGATGAACTAAACCCAGCAGGTGCCTTCACCACCTTGGTTTTCCGGACCTGTCTCCAGGCTCCAGCTCCCCCTCCTCGTTCCCTGGCTAGCCCTACAGGGTCCCGCTGTGAGTGGGCTGGATCGCTGCCAGCTCCTAGCACATCATGCCCACAGAGCGGTAGTTTGGCGAGGACTCTGGAAACACAGAGATTTTGGGGTGGTTCTTGACCAGACCTATGCCGAGACTGGGGGGGGGGAGCAGGGAGGCTGGGAACCATTGACACGCAAAGGACCACAGCGGCGGGATGGGTGGAGGAACAGCTCAGGGGTCGGGAGTGGGACACACGGCCTTTCACCTCGAGGTCACTGCTTCGAATGCAGCCTGGGTCGGTAGCGACCGAAGCACGTTACCATCCGCCGGCTGTTCAGGGGCCTATGCGCAATTACAGGCTGGTCTTGCTCCCGGTCCTAGTGGACAAAAACCACCCATCACAATTGGCACCGTCCCGCAGCCGGCAGAGCAGAGGAGGAGAGCGCTGGCGGGGAGCAGCGGGAGAAAGCGGGTATCGGCGCGGCCCAGCCTCTCCCTGCTCCGGCACTCAGCACCTGCCCCTGGGTCCCAGCTGGCCTGGAAGATGCTGCCCGGGGGGGATCGGCGCATCCAGCTTGCTGATGTCACAATCCGGAGCAAGTGACATCACAAGGCATCACCACAGCGGTGACGGTGATGTTGTAAGTGCCGGACTGTGGCCTCACCAAGCGGCGCAGCCATGGGAGGGGCCTCGGGGGGGCGGGTCCCTCACAGCATTTGTCTGTCAGTCTCAACCGGGGTTTACTTCCTAAAAGGCTGAAAACACAGACAGCCTGAGTCCCTGTTTTCTCCCTGTTCTTTGTATGGGTCAGTCAGAACCTCCTCGCCGAGTGCTCCAGAGGGGAACCTGCCTCTGGGTCAGGGCCAAAGCAGGAAGGAAGCTACTTTCTGGCCCTGGTTAGCCGAAACCTCATGGAAAGATCGGATCTTGCAAGACACCTGCCATGTCAGGCTGAACCCTCTAGAGCAGCAGCTCAGGAGGGGTCAGCGCTGCTGAACCAGAACCAGACCCTGGCAGGCCCCACACTGGACTCTCAGCTACACGTCCTCCAGACCCCACTGTTGTCTCCTTGACCCATCCGTCGCATATTAATGCCTTTGTTCGGAGTTATCAAGGGAAGGTCTGCACAGCTCTGAGACTGAGGTTGGACAGCTGACCAGCAGAGGGCACACACAACACTTCATTTTTGTAGGTCCTGTGCAAACACGGCCATTGTTTTTTACCTATATATTAATTTATAAATGACTTGGTGGTGGATTTTTTAACAGCTATTTAGAAGCCAGAGGGAAATTTCCCACCAGGTTCTCTTCAGGGTCTGGTGGGTATTCTTTGCAGGGCGCATCTGGGACCTACATGGAGAGACCGCTGTAAAAAATCCCGAGCTCTTTATTTCAGCTGATACAAAGTAGGCAACTATTCTGGGGTGGATGAGCAACAAGCTGCTATTTCTGAGGCAGAACGTTCCCGCCTGCCTGTGGGAGTCAGCAGAATGACTAAACCTGCCAGCCCGGCCCCCGCGCTCTGCGCTGGGCTGCAGCGAGATGCCCCCCGGGCACAACTCAATCTCGGGGTGCCCCCAGCGGGAACAGCAGAGTTCCTGGATTGGCTGAGTTCCAAGCTCTGATCTCACAGTTTGGCACCAACAAATGTCTCTCCCCCCTACCCCCAACAAAGACAGGCAGACTCGTAAATTTTCTGTTTGCCTCGGTCTTCCACGAGGAGGCTTCATCTGGCAGAGGCCGCGAGGCCTCTTGCCTGGCACTGCAGCTCCTTGGCCAGCGAGGAATGTACCCAGGGACTGTCTGCGACGCCCCGTTAAGGCTGCCATGGCGCCGGAGCAGCTCACGCGGGATAGCAGGCTGGGGAGGTGGAAGCATGGAGCTCAGCCAATCCGGGGCTGGTGCCCCGCTTCCGAAGAGGCTGCCCCGAGGCTGGGTGTGGCGCTCCTGAGCATTGCACACCCGCTGTGCTGCCATGTACCCCGCAGTGCCCAGCCCGACGGCTCCACCCGTGCCTGCAATGCCCTGTTCTTTCACTGACCTCGCTAGCGCGCCGGGGCAACAGGGCATGCTACTGACACGTCGCACTGCGGCAGATTTGCTCACCTCCTCCGGGCGGGCGCAGGCAGAAATGGGGAGCCCAGATAAAGCCGCTGGGCTCTGGCCAGACCTGGTGTCCGCGGTTCCGGTTAAACCAGGGTGTGTTTTTGTGACGAAGTGGGACTGTTCTTAATGTTTCCTCTGAATAGTGTGGGGGTGCCTCAGTTTCCCCCAGGCAGTTCTTAAGTATCTAGGGGGTGGAGTAAGGTGTGACGAAGTGGGCCTGTTCTTAATGTTTCCTCCGAATATTGTGGGGGTGCCTCAGTTTCCCCTATGCAGTTCTTAAGTATCTAGGTGGTGGGGTAAGGGTGTATGATCATTGCAGAGCCCTAGAGGGCAGGTGTGTGCAGGGGTCTGGACACAGAGAATGGCCGACACCCTGTTTCCTGGCAACTGATGGCCTGGGCCCTTCCCCCCCTGCAAGGTGAAAGCTGAAGGGTTGGAGAACAAAGGAATCAGGTGCCCTCCTGGCCCAGGAAAGGGACAAAGCCCAGAGGAGGAGGGGCTGGAGGGAGTTTCAGTTTGGGGCTGGCTGGGACATGGAGTGAAGTGCAGACGTGGTTGTCTGGCTCACTGCCCCCCAAAATGGACCCAGCTGAGGGGTCCCGTTCTCTGCACCTGCAAGCTCTGTTTTAGACCATGTTCCTGTCATCTAATAAACCTTCTGTGTTACTGGCTGGCTGAGAGTCACGTCTGACTGCGAAGTTGGGGTGCAGGACCCTCTGGCTTCCCCAGGAGCCCGCCTGGGCGGACTCGCTGGGGGAAGCGCACGGAGGGGCAGAGGATGCTGAATGCTCCGAGGTCAGACCCAGGAAGGTGGAAGCTGTGTGAGCTGCGTGTCCTGAAGACAGGCTGCTCACAGAAAGGCGACTGCCCCAGAGTCCTGACTGGCTTCATGGGGAGCAGTTCCAGAGCATCGCTCAGGGACTCCGTGACAACTGGTGGCAGAGGTGGGATGTACTGCACCTCGTGGATGGCGCTTCCTGCAGTAAGTGACTGGGGAGCAGTAACACGAAGGGGGATTGCCGAGGACCAGGCCTGCTGAAGGCTCAGAAAGGAGCGGTTTCGGGGGGCGGTTAACCCCTGGGAGTGTGTGACCAGTGAGAGGGACTGTGCAGTAATGGGGTCCCCCTGGGGACTGCAGTGAGCAGTCTCAGGGGCGGAGGAGTCTGCAGCTCGACCCTGGCAAAGAGGTGGTGACCTCGAGAAGGGCTGGCACACTAGGGGTTCTCCCTGGAAACCGTGGGGAGCTGAGAACACACGGGCCTGTGAGTCCACAACAACTTGGGAGGAGCGGAGTGATGGCCTGTCACCGTCTCCTTAAGAAGGACATTGTAACCCTGTGCAAAAAGAGAGGGTTGAGCGTTGGAAAGTGCACCAAAGCAGAGTTAATCGTGCAGCTGGAGGAGGATGACCGCTCTAAGGAACAGATTCCTGACCCCAACTGGGGCTATAGCAGGATCTGGGAGCAGCTGAAGCGGGAGCCAGGCATCGCCAAGACTCCTGTCCCCGACCAGACGAGGGTCTTCACGATCGGGTTCCCCATCGGGGGATCGAGACGGACGGGATTGGAGCTGAGTCTGAGAGAGCAAGAGGACTGTGAGAGACAGCGAGAGCCCGAGAAAGAGCTGCAGAAGCAGCAGCAGCATGAACTGGCGGTGGGGGAGCGGAGAGGCCTAGGGGACCCCTCAGGGGTGAGTGGGGATAGACCCCGGGGGGCCAGTTCCGCAGGGAACCTCGAGACTAAATTGCTGCCCCTGGTTAAGGGGGGGGGTTTGGATGCCCACCTCACTGCCTTTGAGCAGGCTGGCGATTTGAACCAAGGGGACCCTGCGGAAAAGCCCCGGTGTCTAGCTCCCTTGCTGGGTCCCAAGGCCTTAGACTCCGTCAGCCAGATGGTTGGGGATGTGGACAGGCTCCCACTCCTGACCCCAACCTATATGTCTGTGTGGAGTTTCCTGGGGCCAGGCCCCCCGGACCTCCAGTGGGAGCAGAAGGTGATGGTCAATGGGGAGACATTCTTGGGGTGGCCAAAGGGCATGGGCTGCATAAACCTTCCCACATGCGGCCTGCAAGTGCTATCGACCACCCCTGACCTAAGGGAGGGCGTGAAACTGGAAGGGCCTGGTGTAACTCCTACCAAGGAATGGGAGAGATGCTGGGGCATCCATGGGAATGTTGGTGGCTTCGAACTTCCCCAGGTCACCGGCTAAAGTGACCCCGCTCAGTTCGATCTCGAAGGGGGGAGAGATGTGACGAAGTGGGACTGTTCTTAATGTTTCCTCTGAATAGTGTGGGGGTGCCTCAGTTTCCCCCAGGCAGTTCTTAAGTATCTAGGGGGTGGAGTAAGGTGTGACGAAGTGGGCCTGTTCTTAATGTTTCCTCCGAATATTGTGGGGGTGCCTCAGTTTCCCCTATGCAGTTCTTAAGTATCTAGGTGGTGGGGTAAGGGTGTATGATCATTGCAGAGCCCTAGAGGGCAGGTGTGTGCAGGGGTCTGGACACAGAGAATGGCCGACACCCTGTTTCCTGGCAACTGATGGCCTGGGCCCTTCCCCCCCTGCAAGGTGAAAGCTGAAGGGTTGGAGAACAAAGGAATCAGGTGCCCTCCTGGCCCAGGAAAGGGACAAAGCCCAGAGGAGGAGGGGCTGGAGGGAGTTTCAGTTTGGGGCTGGCTGGGACATGGAGTGAAGTGCAGACGTGGTTGTCTGGCTCACTGCCCCCCAAAATGGACCCAGCTGAGGGGTCCCGTTCTCTGCACCTGCAAGCTCTGTTTTAGACCATGTTCCTGTCATCTAATAAACCTTCTGTGTTACTGGCTGGCTGAGAGTCACGTCTGACTGCGAAGTTGGGGTGCAGGACCCTCTGGCTTCCCCAGGAGCCCGCCTGGGCGGACTCGCTGGGGGAAGCGCACGGAGGGGCAGAGGATGCTGAATGCTCCGAGGTCAGACCCAGGAAGGTGGAAGCTGTGTGAGCTGCGTGTCCTGAAGACAGGCTGCTCACAGAAAGGCGACTGCCCCAGAGTCCTGACTGGCTTCATGGGGAGCAGTTCCAGAGCATCGCTCAGGGACTCCGTGACAGTTTTACACTCAGACTTGGGCAGTGGGGGGAGCAGGGGTAACGCGGTGACTCAGGGCCTTTCCCCGTGGGGCACACTCAGCAGAAAGAGGGGAGCCTGTGACGAAGCGGGACTGTTCTTAATGTTTCTTCTGAATAGTGTGGGGGTGCCTCAGTTTCCCCTAGGCAGGTCTTAAGTCTCTAGGGGGTGGGGTAAGGGTGTGTGATCATTGCATAGCCCTAGAAGGCAGGTGTGTGCAGGGGTCTGGACACAGAGAATGGCCGACACCCCGTTTCCTGGCCACTGATGGCCTGGGCCCTTCCCCCCTGCAATGTGAGAGCTAAAGGGTTGGAGAACAAAGGAATCAGGTGACCTCCTGGCCTGGGAAAGGACAAAGCCCAGAGGAGGAGGGGCTGGAGGAAGTTTCAGTTTGGGGCTGGCTGGGACATGGAGTGAAGGGCAGACAGGGTTGTCTGGCTCACTGCCCCCCAAAATGGACCCAGCTGAGGGGTCCTGTTCTCTGCACCTACAAGCTCTGGTTTAGACCATGTTCCTGTCGTCTAATAAACCTTCTGTTTTACTGGCTGGCTGAGAGTCACATCTGACTGCGGAGTTGGGGTGCAGGACCCTCTGGCTTCCCCAGGACCCCGCCTGGGCGGACTCGCTGTGGGAAGCGCACGGAGGGGCAGAGGATGCTGAATGCTCCGAGGTCAGACCCAGGAAGGTGGAGCCGGGTGAGCTGTGTGTCCTGCAGACAGGCTGCTCCCAGAGAGGAGACTTCCCCAGAGTCCTGCCTGGCTTCATGGGGAGCAGTTCCAGAGCATCGCCCGGGGACTCCGTGACAGAGCCCACGGGCCTGTGGGCATGGAGCAGGCTCCACTTCCGCTACAGAAACCCTCCGTGAGCCCCAGGGCCCGGAGTTCATCTTCAAGCGGCGTGGCAGGGAGGCAAGATGGGGCAGTGGGGCGTCCGCGTGTCTCTCCACGAGCGTTTCATGCTCTCCGCCCCGCGCACGAGCCCCGCTGCTGTTCGCACTGGTGCAGAGCAGTCGCCAGAGTTCCCGCCCGCAGCAGGGCCGGACAGCCCGGGGTCAGGACGCCGAGCCCAGCCTGCGCTTGGTCTCCTCGAGCCTCCCGGCTGCCAGAGCGACTCAGGGAGCCGCTGTCTCGCCTAATCTCCCCTTCCAGCCACCCCCTGGGGCTAAGGAGACCTGACGGCCCTGCGGGCACAGCCAGCATCCCCCGGTGCCGGGGCTTGGATGGAGGGAGGCAGAGGCGGCTCTGGGACAGGCGCGCACCCACCTCGATCTCGCTGCCCTCCCGCAGGTTGAAGGTGAGGTCCTGGTGGATGTCGGCCATGAACTTGCTGGAGTGCTCGGGGTAGAACTCCAGCACCTGCAGCAGGCCACGCAGGGTGATGTACTGCAGGTCGCAGTAGGTCAGCGCCTTGACGTCCGCGTTGGTTTTGATCACCTGGTCCTTGCCGGGCAGGTCGGCCCCGATCAGGTCCCCTTTGCCTGTGGGCATCAGGAAAGGGGGGTGAGCAGGACTAGGGGTTCCCTGGCCAGGCCCCCATATAGCCCAGGCCTCGGAGGGTTCACGCGCCTCCTGGGAGGCCCATTGTAGGGATGGGAACCTGAGGCACAGAGGTGGGGGGGTAGGGCCTGGCCTCCTTGTAGCCAGGAATGGAACCCAGGAGTCCTGACTCCAGTCCCCTTCCTTAGCCTCCTCCCAGGGAGGAGACCCAGCTTCCACTGCTCCAGCCCAGCTGGGGGGGCACCAGGGACCTGCTGTTCATCTCACAGGGGAGCTAGGCATCTTGGTGGCCAGGGACGGCCCTTTGTGGGGCATGACAAGCTGGACTGGCCCCAAGAGAAGCCTGTGGCTATGCTGGGGGTTGCCACTGGCCCAGCAGTGATCTGGATCAGCCACAGAGCCCTGCCTGGCCCCTCACATGGTGTATCTGAGACCCTGAACCCAAGGGTGGGGCTTTGCCAAATCCCTTCCCGGAGCGGGCACCATCTGGGATCCAAGGGGAATGCCCATCTCCACCGCTGCCATGTGATCAGGGTGCCAGGCCCTGCTCTCAGCAGGTCGCTCCGCGAAGGGTGGGGGGGCGGGCGCCTTGGAGCAACCACCTCTCACTGCCCCGCGAGGCCCCAGCACCTCAGAAACTTGCTGCCGGAGGAATCCCCCCAGCGCAGCCAGGAAACAGCCGGACAGGTGGACGGACAGAGAGGCACAGGGCTTGACAGGCCAGCCACAGGCTCTGGGGAAAGAAGCCGCACTGGCCCCCCTGTTTGGCTGTCAGCCCTTCGCCCCTGCTGCCCGTGAGACCAGGGGTGGGGCTGGCACATGCCGGGCACCCCCTTACCCAGGATGGCCAGCACCATGTTGTCCTTCAGGACCTCGAGGGAGCCGGAGCAGACGAAGTAGTTGGCCTGCAGGGCATCACCCTGGCGCAGCAGGTATTCGCCGGGGGCACAGAAGGAGGTCTTGATGTGCAGGGAGAGGGCGCGCAGGCAGCCCCGGCTGGCCGCCTTGAAGAGCGGCAGCTGCAGGATGCCTTTGTTGAGGTGCATGGCGATGTCGGCCCGCAGCTCGTCGGGGAAGTCGCGCAGCAGCTGCGGGGGCAGCGGGAGGGAGTCAGGGGCGCTGGCGGGGGGAGGGTTGGCCCGGCGGCTCCCCAGGGTGCTGGAGGGGAACAGCAGAGCGCCGAGCTCTGATCCTCTGCTCCTGCAGCCAGCACATGCACCCGGAGAGCCAGCTCCTCTGGCTCCGTCCCTCCAAGCTCTGTGCTCAGCGGGCGGCCCCGGTGGCAGGGACCTAGCCCCTGGCGTGGGCCCGGGGGCACCGCCTACCTCGTTGGCATCGATGCCGTTGTTCACCGACCAGGTGGTCTGGAAGTACTCCAGCATCCTCTGCTTGAGCGGCTGCGGGAGGCGGTGCACGCGGATGAAGTCCTTGAGGTCCTTCATGCGGGTGTGGTAGAGGGAGCGGCGGGAGTACATGCGCTGGATGATGGCCGTGACGTTCCCGAACACCACGGCGTGCATCAGGGCTGCGGGGAGGGCCCAGCGCCGGCTCAGCGCCACGGGCGGACAGGGGCAGGGAGCCTGGCCCCCAGGCTGCACCAGCCCAGGGCCGAGGCTCCTCTCTGCCAGCTGCCCTGCACTGCGCGGGGAACCTACCCGCGAGGGGCCTTTCCCGCCAGCCCTGGCAGCTCAAGGTCAGCTTTTGGGGGCGGGGGGTCATGTTCACCTCTAACACCCTCCCCTGTTAACTTTCCCTTCAGCAGCCAGACACTTGGGGATCCTGCCACCCCCCGCTCACTCCCAAGGCGTGCACCTGAGTCCCCTCGCACCAGACGTACAGGGCGTGTCTACCCAGCTCCCCGCCAATACAGGGCACATGTCTCCTTGCCTGGCCTTACCCGACTCCCCCCAGCACAGGGGGTGTGTCCCCTTGCCAGTCCCTGCCTGGCTCACCTCCCAGCACAGGGCGCATGCCTCCTTGCCTGACCCTACCCTGCTCCTCCCCAGCACAGGGCGCATGCCCTCTTGCCTGGCCCTACCCTGCTCCTCCCCAGCACAGGGCGCATGCCCTCTTGCCTGGCCCTACCCTGCTCCTCCCCAGCACAGGGCGCATGCCCTCTTGCCTGGCCCTACCCTGCTCCTCCCCAGCACAGGGCGCATGCCCTCTTGCCTGGCCCTACCCTGCTCCTCCCCAGAACAGGGCGCATGCCCCCTTGCCTGGCTCTGCCCGTCTCACCCCCGATCAGCATGGTGCAGATGGAGAAGATCTTCTCCGCATCGGTGTTGGCGCAGACATTGCCGAAGCCCACGCTGGTGAGGCTGCTGAGGGTGAAGTAGAGGGAAGCAATGTAGGTGCTGCGGACGGATGGGCCCCCCACGGAGCTGTTGACGTAGGGCGCCTCCAGCCTCCTGCCCAGCTCGTGGAGCCAGCCTGCTAAGCACAGCGCAGAGTTAAAGTCGGCCGGCGCTCGGAATGGGGGGCCGGTCTAGCCCCCCAGCAGCCCGCCCACGGTGGAGCCCAGAGCAGCCCCCTGCAGAGGGCAGAGATGTTGGGCATCGCTGGATCTCGGCTCCAGCCTGGCACCGGGAGGGGTCATTCCCACCCCAGAGCCTTCAGCTCTGCAGCCAGAGCCCGCTCTGTGGTCCCGGCTTCGGCTGGAGTTGGGGCACGTCTCACTCCCTCCGCATCACCGGGGCCCGAGCCCTCGGGCGTGCCAAGCACAACAGCCCTTGCCGCTGGCCCAGCCACTCAGGGCTCGATCCCCGAACCAAGGCAGGGATGAGCGATGGGTGGGGTTGGCGCAGCCTGGCGTGCTGTCTGCCAGGGCCAGGAGATGCGCTCCCGTAAGCCCCCGGCTGCGCCTTCCTGGCTGCCGCAGCTGTGTCGCCCTGCCAGACCAGGGAGCTCACACCCAGCGGCTCCTAGGGCAAGAGGGGATTGGATCCCTGCTTGGAGAGCAACTCCCCCAGTGCCCCCCCTTTCTCCCCACCCATCCTGGCCTCCCCAATGCATCCAGGGGCCCTTTGCACCACTGCCCCGGAGCCCCACGACTGCCTGGCCACCCCCACTGCTCGGAGAGCTCTCCCTGCCTGCAGCGGGGGGGCCTGGCTCACCCCAGCTGCTGCAGGCGGCTGGGCTCCCCCTGCGGAGAGGGCAGGCTGCCCTTGCCCAGCCAGGCTGGCCCTCAACGCCGCACGGAGCCAGCCTGAGGGCTGGGGATTGCCCCCTGGCTGCAGCCAGGCCCCCGTCTTGTGCTGGGCCTTTGCGTGCAACCCCGGACCACACAGACCAGTCTAGTGCCGGGACCACTGGCCCTAGCCCGACCCAGCATCTGCTTCCTTTGACGGCTCCTGCTGAGCAGCTGCAGTGTCGTTAGCTGCCCGCCAGCCAAATCCATTCCTGGACCCTCAGCACAGGGCCAGCCTCAGTACAGGTGGGGATGAGGCACGGGGCGAGTAACTTGCCCAGATCACACAAGCAGTCCATGGGGAAGCTAGAATAGAACCTAGGCGCCCTGACTCCCAGCCCCACCCGCTGTAACCACTAGATCCCACGCCCCTCCCAGAGCTAGCAACAGAACCCAGGAGTCCTGTGCCCACCCGTTGGATCCGCCCGGCTCAGGCCCCCCGGGCACCCCGCCTGACTCACCAATGCCCCAGGTCAGAGGGTCGTTACTTTCCATCTCCTTCCGGCCGATGACGTACCAGATGCAGGCTAGCCAGTGGGCGAGCAGGGCGAACACGGACGTGAGCAGGGCGAGCACCACGGCGCTGTGCTGGGAGTAACGCTCCAGCTTCTGCAGCAAGCGCAGAAGCCTTAGGAGACGCACGGTCTTCAGCAGGTGCACCAGCGAGGTCTGGGTTGGCGGGCGGGGAGAGCAGAGGCAGCCGTCACTGACCGCGGGCGCCAGGCCAGCCTCTGCCCAGGGCCGGATGGGGAACAGCTTACAGACCCAGAGCCACCGGGGGAAATTCAGCCCGGGGCACAGCCCAGCATGGGGCCTTGCTCCCGCCCGGCGCCCCGCAGGCCTCGGCACCGCTGCCCTCCCCACCGCTGGCTGACGTCCCGCTGCAGCCCGAGGTCTCCTGCTGGGAAGGGGCTCGACACCACACGGGGGGGCACATCCTTGGGCTCCAGCAGCCTGTTGCCTGGATGCTCCCCTTTCGGTGGGCTGCTTTGGGTCACGCTCTGCGGCTGGCAGCCCCTGCATTTGGATCCACTCCCACGGCGCGTGGGGCCCAGGGAGCAGGAGCCACAGCACCCTGCAAGGCACAGGCCCCGCTCCTGGCCCGGGCCGACGCCCCCTGTCCCTGATGGCTGATGCTGGGGTGAATACGGCGTTCCGAATCACTCCTGCCCAGGGCCTGTGGAGGGGCTGGGGCCCGGGCCCTCCGCTGCCCACCCCAGCCGCTGTCCGGTCTCTCAGCATTATCTGAGCACTATGTATGTGGCAGCGTGTGTGTCTGTAATTGTACACACGTCTCTGCAAGTGCAAACGAAGCTGGGTGTGCAGGAGAATGCATTTGTACGTGTGTGTCTCTCTCAGAGCATGGAGGCCTTGCCGTGTCCGTTTGCACGTGTGTGTCCAGCTACTTTGCAGGGAGAGGGTTCAGCCGGGGGAGCCAGCGCTGAGCTGGCAGAGATTTCACACCTGCGGACGGTTTGCGGCTCTCGGGTTCAATTGGGCTGGGTGGGTGGCTTCCCGCTGTCGCTGAGATCACTGCGCTCCCCTCGCCCCGATGGCCCCTCCGGAGACGGGACAGAGGAGACCCCCCCTCCCCCTCCACCCCCCCCCGGGTTCGCACTCACCACGGTCACGTTGAATGCGTACAGGAGGTCGAAGGGCAAGGCCGCGATCAGGTCCACAAAGAACCAGGTGGCCATGTAGTGGATGCAGATGGAGCGGGTGTCGTAGACCACCTGCCCCGACTGGCTGACGTAGGTGGTGCGGAAGTTCAGGACGATGTCTGCAGAGAAGGGCCAACCCGGTCACGGCCCTGCACTGCCGCCAGCAGGAACCCTGATCACAGCCACCCGGCCTTGGCCCTGGCCGCACCCCGCGCTGCAGGGCCCTGCTCCCCGGGGCAGACGCCAGCCTGGAACCTGGGCACTCAGACCCAGCCCAGAGCGCGGCTGGGGGGTGATCCGGGAGAGCTGCAACCAGCGCTCTGAGCACCCTCGGATACGCGCCCCCGGCACAGAGCTGAGCTCCGGCCCCGACCCATCTCAGCTGCTTGCTGAGAAAGCAGGCTCCCCTTCCCCAGCCCAGAAGGGTCCAGTGGCCCCCCAGCCACGCGCTGAGTGAACTCCCCTGAGCCAGGCTTGGGCGCCAAGCCCCCACGCCCGGCCCAGCATCGGCCCTACCCAGGATGAAGAGCATCTCCACGGCGATGTCGCTGACGATGGTGCTGCGGGCGGCGGCCAGACTGTCCTCGGCGCCGGTGAAGCAGACGTTGTAGGGGACGGTGACGGCCACGTAGAAGGTGGCCAGCAGGATGAGCCAGTCCCACAGGGCCTTGAAGACGCTGTAGTGCAGCAAGATGAAGCGGGATTTCTGCACCGAGGCCACTTTGTACTCGGGAACGGACGGCTTGCTCCCAAAGACGCTCTGGGGAAGGAAGACGGCTCAGAGGCTGGCACCAGCTGGGATCCGGCCGAGGACCTGTGGAGCCAGCCCGGGTGCCCTCCGCAGGTGGTGGGAGCAGACTCGCGTCCAGTGGGGGTCAGGCACAGAGGGGCACAAGTCACAAGGAGGGGAGAGACAGCTCCCCATGGCTATCAGCACAATGCACAAGGCCCAGTACCAGGGTGAGGGGCCAACAGTAGAGATTGCTAGAAATAGCACCAGGCCCGTGTCCTAAAGAGCTGCTCTGACGAACGGGACGGGAGTCCCCGTGCAGGGACACCGAGACACCCCGACACCCACCAACCTCCTCGCCCATTCTGAGCCCAATACACCCTCCCGGTAGGTGCCCCCAGCACCCCTCTCCCCACCGCTCAGGAGCGCCAGCCAGCTGCAGCCATGGCCTGACCCAGGGAGATTGGGGTAGTGCAGGGAGTGCTGGGGGGTGGGGGGTGATCTCTCTGTCATCCCCATCAGGCCAGGGATAATCCCAACCACAGCAGCCGCTGCACTAACCACTCAGCACCTGCACTTCCCGAAAGCTCCTTAGTCTCGTGGCCCCAGAGGGAGAGCGAATCCAGGCTGCCGAGCGGCTCCCGGCTTGGCAAGGGTCCCGCAGGCTGCGAGTGGACACCCGCCATCAGCCGCTTGCCCTAAGCAGGCTCAGAGGTGATTTGCCAGTTGTAGGGACAAGGGTGTTTCCATCCTCCCCCTGCACCCAACGGCACGTAGGGCCATTTGCTTGGAGCAGCATCTGCTCGAGACAGCCCCTGCCCCGATCCCTCTCCGGAGGCAGCCAGATCTGGGGGTCCTGGCATGGGCTGGATCGGGTGGGGAATGGGGCAGGCCAGGGGCAGAGTGGGGAAAGAAAACCAGTGTGCTGGCCCCCAGCCCCACCCCAGCAAGCCTACGACAGCAAACCAGGCCGGGGCAGCCAAGCCACCCTCCCGAGACAAGCCAGCACGCGCCCGACCGCAGAGGAGGCCCTGGCTGGCTGGGGGTCCGAGCTGGGGCTGCTCACTCAGAGCAGCGAGCGGAGGAGGAACGGGAAGGGTGATGGCGGAGAGGCCCCCCAGGACTCCCTGCACGACTCAGCGCTCCCGTTGCCGAACGCTGCAGGGGGACCCAGGCCCAGATGCCACCACGCAGGGCTGGAACACGGCCGCGAGCTGCAGCTCGGTGCGGGGCAGTGCAGGAAGTGCCGGCTGGTGTAAGGTGACCCCGGCAGCGGCATTATGATGTGCCGGGTGCAGACGGCCCGGTTACATTTCACACGAATGCTATTCCCAATAATCCACCAGCGCTGCTGGCTGTTGCCCAAAAGAGTTAAAGGTGCAAATTTTCGAGGCTTTGGCAGTCAAGGGTCCACTTGCACATTGCCTGGCTAACAGCTCCTCTGCGGGCAGCTAATCCCGGCCCCGGATGAGGCTAAGTCCCTGGGAGCAGGGCTGCTCTCTGGTGCCGCTCTCACCTTCCCGTCCCAAGGGCTAAAGCACAAAGCACTGGAGAATAACGCTGGGTAAACGCCTCCCTCCGCCTGGTGAGCAGCTGGCCCGCAGGGCTCAGGGGGGCTCCTTGGGTAGGGGGTCCCTGCAGCTCCTGGGCCGTCCTTGCCCCCGGACACCCGCAGGGGGCCTGAGGAAAGGCAGCGGGAAGCAGAAGCCAGCTCTCTGCAGACCCGCGGGTGACCTAGGAGCCCAGCACATAGGCAGGGGATGAGGCCTCACCGGGAGCACAGGCCAGGGTGGTTTGGAGCCGGAGGGAGGTCATGGGAGCAGGGGGTGGGTTCTTACCCTGGTGATCTTCATCTCGCCCCGCTCCTTGCCGGTGAACTGGCGGGTGAGATGGCGCAGCACCGTGCGGCCCTGCTTGCGTGCCGCCCGCAGGTGGGAGCTCCCCGCCTTCTTGCTCCGGTGCTTCTCTGAAACAGACGGAGAGCGGCGCGGGCCGGGTGAGCCGGGGCCAGCTCAGAGCTGGGGCAGGCGCCGTGTGTGCTGGGACTGGGCCCCATCTCAGCTGCCCCCGTGCATGCCCCTCGTGTGGACACTGTGGCCGTCCTAGGAAGGTCCCCTCCCCCTTCTAATTCACACTGCGCACCACCCAAGCGAGCAAAGACCGTCCAGGGAGCATCCGGGCTGGTGGGTCCCCCGGGAAACGGCCCGGCCTTTGGGAGCCAGTGCCACGGGGACCCAGCCTGGCTCCAAGCAGATGCCACCAGGACCATGCTGGCTTGTCCCCTCCCCCCCAGCCTGCTCCACGCCCCTCCCAACCCCCTCCCCACCCCAGGCACCCTCCCCCCAGCCTGCTCCACTCCCCTGACTCCACCCCCTGGCTTCTTCCCCCAGCCCCACTTGCTTCCTGCCCCCCCTCCCTCGGCCAGGGCGCACCATCTCTCCTGTCGCCCGGGTGGCTCTTGCCCCGGTTCTCGGTGATGTCCTTGAAGGAGACGAGGAAGAGAACCACCTCCCCCTTCTCATTCTTGATGGGCACGATGTCCAGCAGGCACCAGAAGGCGACTCCTGCGGGGAGGAGGGGAAGGAGCTGAGCCAGGAAATGCCCTTGGCCGCCCCGCACTGCCCCAAGGCCAGTACCCTGCACTGCCGCCCTGCAGGGCTAGTCATCAATGCGCCCATTACGAGACCGGGTTGGCACACAACCCCCCAGCCAGCAGGGACCCAACTCTGCACCTTCAGCCCCAAAAGCAGGAGGCTCTAAGAAGTGAGTTACGGGAGTAACTCTAGGACCTGGTAGCAGCAGTAGGCTGTTATCCCCACATCAGCCGGCCACTAGAGGGGGCCACAGGACACACGCACTGAACCCATGGGGTTACGTGGAAGGCCTGGGGCACTGGGAGCAGTTGCCTGGCCAGGATCAGCCGTGCTGTTAAGCTAAGGGGTTGGAGCCGGCTCCCCTGCACGGGGGACCCACGTGGTGCGTGGGCCGGGGCCAGCCTCCGTGAGTGCAGTGAGTCACGCGCCTGCCGCCCCACTCACCGCCCTTCTTGTAGAAGCAGACCTCAGCCTGGTACTCCTGCCTCCCATCCAGCACCTTCTCGACGCACTGCAGGACGGACTCGCTGGTCTCGGTCCCGTACAGGAAGCGACAGCTGCAGTTCTTCTGCATGACCTCGGTGCGGGCGAAGCCGGTGAGGTCGCAGAAGCCGTCGGAGCAGTAGACGATGGGGAAGCCGCGGTGAACCTGAGCGTTGGCCAGAATGAAGTTGCTGTCTGGAAAGAAGCCAACAGACCCCAACCCCCAGGGCCAGGTTAGCACCCTGGAGGGGTCCTGGGAAGCATTTCCATTCTGAGCCTCCCCTCCCAGAGCCAGGGATAGAACCCAGGAGTCCTGGCTCCCTGCCCTGCCCCCACTCAAACCCACTACTCCCCACTCCCCTGCCAGAGCCAGGGATAGAACCCAGGAGTCCTGGCTCCCTCTAAGCTGCGCGGCTGTGCAGCAGCCTATCACGGGCCATGCAGGCGCTCAGGGCTGTGGCAGAAAGAGGCACCTCTCCCCTGGCCCTAGCCCCAGAGCTGCTGCGGGGAGAGAGGGCTGGGGGGAGTCCTCTCTTCCCTCCATGGCCCCGGGGCAGCCTGCACCCCAAACCCCTCATCCCTGGCCTCACCTACCCTAACCCTCTGCCCCAGCCCTGCGCCCCCTCCCGCACTCTGAACCCCTCGGCCCCACCCCTTCTGCACATCACCTCCATATTGGTGCACATAACAAAATTCATTCCGCACATGAATGGGAAACATTAGAGGGAACATTGCCTGAGTCCTGGCTCCCAGCCCCCTCGCTCAAACCCACTAGACCCTGTGACGAAGTGGGACTGTTCTTAATGTTTCCTCTGAATAGTGTGGGGGTGCCTCAGTTTCCCCTAGGCAGTTCTTAAGTCTCTAGGGTGGTGGGGTAAGGGTGTATGATTGTTGCAGAGCCCTAGAGGGCAGGTGTGTGCAGGGGTCTGGACACAGAGAATGGCCAACACCCTGTTTCCTGGCAACTGATGGCCTGGGCCCTTCCCCCCTGCAAGGTAAGAGCTAAAGGGTTGGAGAACAAAGGAATCAGGTGACCTCCTGGCCTGGGAAAGGGACAAAGCCCAGAGGAAGGGGGGCTGGAGAGAGTTTCAGTTTGGGGCTGGCTGGGGACATGGAGTGAAGGGCAGACGGGGTTGTCTGGCTCACTGTCCCCCAAAATGGACCCGGCTGAGGGGTCTTGTTCTCTGCACCTACAAGCTCTGTGTTAGACCATGTTCCTGTCATCTAATAAACCTTCTGTTTTACTGGCTGGCTGGGAGTCCCGTCTGACTGCGGAGTTGGGGGGCAGGACCCTCTGGCTTCCCCAGGACCCCGCCTGGGCGGACTCGCTGTGGGAAGCGCACAGAGGGGCAGAGGATGCTGAATGCTCCAAGGCCAGACCAAGAAAAGTGGAAGCCGGGTGAGCTGTGTGCCCTGTAGACAGGCTGCTCCCAGAGAGGAGACCTCACCTGAGTCCTGACTGGCTTCATAGGGAGCAGTTCCAGAGCATCGCCCGGGGACTCCGTGACAAACCCCACTCCCCTCCCAGGGCTGGGAATGGAACCCAGGGCCCTTCTGCTCTAACCACGAGACCCCGCTCCCTTCCCAGAGCCAGGGATAGAACCCAGGCATTTCAGCTTCCAGCTCTCCCCTTCCTGCTCTAACAACGAGAGACGCCCCCATCCTTGCCGAGCCAGCAATAGAAGGAGTTTGTAAGTACATTAGGAACAACAAGAATCCTAACAATAGCACTGATCCATTACTAAATGGAAATGATAGAATTCTCAGTAATAATGCAGCAAAGGCAGGAGCGTTAAATAAATATTTCTGTTCTATATTTTGGGAAAAACCTATGATGTAGTCGTGTCATAAGATAACTCTCTTTCCATTCCACTAGCACCTCAGGAGGATGTTAAACAGCAGCTAATAAAGTCAGACATTTTTAAATCAGCAGGTCCAGATAACTTGAATCCAAGAGTTTTAAAAGAGTTGCCTGAGGAGCTTGCTTCCACTGGGGTCCCACAGGTATCTGTTCTTGGCCCTACACTATTTAACGTTTTTATCAATGACCTGGAAGAAAACATAAAATCATCACTGATAAAAGTTTGCAGATGACAAAAATTGGGGAGTGGTAAATAGCTAATAGGACAGGTCACTGATTCAGGGTGATAGATCACCTGGTAAACTGGGTGCTAGCAAACACTATGTGTTTTAATATGGCCAAATATAAACATATCCATCTAGGAACAAAGAATGCAGGCCACACTTACAGGATGGGGACTCTACCTTGAGAAGCAGAGACTCAAGATTTGTTGGGGGGTTGGATAATCAGCTGAACATGAGTTCCCAGTGTGATGCTGTGGCAAAAGAGCTAACACGACCGCTGCTGGAATCCTGTGTCCAGTTCTGGTACCCATAGTTCAGGAAGGAGGTTGATAAATCGGAGAGGGGTCAGAGAAGAGCCATGAAAATGATTAAAGGGTTAGAAAACCTGCCTGACAGTGAGACTCAAGGAGCTCGATCTATTTCTTTGACCAACGAGCAGGTTAATATGTAATCATGGGCTCCTCAATCTAGCAGAGAAAGGTATAAAGGATCCAGTGGCTAGAAGTGGAAACTAGACACATTCAGACTGGAAATAAGGGGTAAATTTTTAACGGTGAGAGTGTCATGGAGTCCCCGGGCGATGCTCTGGAACTGCTCCCCATGAAGCCAGGCAGGACTCTGGGGTAGTCGCCTTTCTGTGAGCAGCCTGTCTGCAGGACACACAGCTCACCCGGCTTCCACCTTCCTGGGTCTGACCTCGGAGCATTCAGCATCCTCTGCCCCTCCGTGCGCTTCCCCCAGCGAGTCCACCCAGGCGGGGTCCTGGGGAAGCCAGAGGGTCCTGCCCCCCAACTCCGCAGTCAGACGGGACTCTCAGCCAGCCAGTAAAACAGAAGGTTTATTAGACGACAGGAACATGGTCTAACACAGAGCTTGTAGGTGCAGAGAACAGGACCCCTCAGGTGGGTCCATTTTGGGGGGCAGTGAGCCAGACAACCACGTCCGTACTTCACATCCCCAGCCAGCCCGAAACTGAAACTCTCTCCAGCCCCCCCTGCTCTGGGCTTTGTCCCTTTCCCAGGCCAGGAGGTCACCTGATTCCTTTGTTCTCCAACCCTTTAGCTCTCACCTTGCAGGGGGAAGGGCCAGGCCATCAGTTGCCAGGAGACAGAGTGTCAGCCATTTATGTACCCTGGCCCTTTGCTCTCCAACAATTACACCTCCTTATCCCACAACCTAGAGACTTAAGAACTGCATAGGGGAAACGGAGGCACCCCTGCAGTATTCAGAGGAAACATTAAGAACAGGCCCACTTCGTCACAGGGAGTAATTAACCCTTGGAACAATTCACCAGGGGTTGTGGTGGAGTCTCCAGCACTGATCATTTAAAAATCAAAGCTGTCTGTTGATCTGCTCTAGGATTAGTGTGGGGCAGTGTGGGTCGGAGAGCAGCTCAGACCAGCTGAGGACAACGGTCCCTTCCAGCCTTGGGATCTACGAGCCTCGGATGCAGAGGGGGCAGTTGGGGCGAGGGAAGGGCCAGCGATGTGTAGGACCTCACCAGCACTGGCCCCGCTCCCCTACAGCCTCCAGAGCCCCCCACATCACTAACCCCGGGAAAGACCCCACGGAAAGACCCCAGAGTCACCCTGTGCAGCCACGTCCAGCTGCTATTCCTGAGGGCCCCTCCTTGCTTTGCCCCCCGCCCCCGCCCCCCAGGCCGTGACGGTAGCCAACCCGGGCTGCAGCCCCTCCTCCCGGCTGGGCGAGCTGGCTACGCTCTGCCCCTCGCCATTCAGTGGCAAGGTGAGCGCGGGAGCCCAGATAGAGCCCCTGGCTTCCATCTTCTCAGAGATGTGGTGCCAAGCGAGCCGCACCTCCCCCTCGCCAGCTGGTGCCTCCACCCCCCCGGCAGGGCTAAGGCAGCTTAACAGCAACAACAACAAACCCAGCCGGGGGCTGTGCCAGGGCTCCCCGCAGGCACGGCAGCCGGGGGCTTGCCGCGGGCACAGGCCAAGCTGCGGGGAGATGAGCCCAGCTCCGAGTGCCTATCCCTGCCACGCCGGGCATCCGCCTGCAGCAGGGGAAGCCTGAGGAGACACCAGTATCCTAAACGCAGGGGGCCCTGCATGGTCCCAGAGGATGCTCCAGGGCGGCAAGGTCGGATCATTAGTGTTTACCCCTGGCACCACCGAGAACGAGCCCTTGCAATGTGTAACTAGCGCTAGGCCGGGAGAGCCTTGCTCCTGGGCTCAAGGGGGCATGAGCCAGCACTACCGATCCCCTGGCCTCGCTGCGGCCAGCCTGCCCCATGCGACGGGCTGCTCGTGACTGGCGGGAAGTGCTGCCCAGCAGGGTCAGGAATGGCACCTTGCTGGCGGGCTCCCTGCCAGCGCAGACAGATGGCTTCGAGTGCACAGGCCGCCGAGGAGCAGCCAGCAGGGCCAGCCGGCCTGGTTTCCACCTGCCAGGGGCAGAGCAGTGGCCCCTTTCCCCCCACGGAAAGCACTGCGTGCCCTGCGGCCCAGGGGCTGTGAACCCAGCCATGTGCCCCCCGCAGCAGCCGTGGCCCATTTGACAGCCCTTGTTTCCATGCCAATAGGCAGCAATGCCACCAGCGTGGGTCAGCGGCCCGAGGGCAGGAGCAAGGACAGCTGAGGCCATGGCCAGAAAGCCCCAGCTCTGGAGTCCCCTGCCCCCGCCAGGGGAGGCCCCGGGGCCTCGCTCCTCGCTCGCTGCTGTGGCTCAAAGCCGGAGGCATTGGGGAATCAAAACCCAATGCCCATGGCTAAGTTCTTGGCTCCTGGAGCTGTAGCTGCTGGCTTGGCCGGGGTGGGGAATTAGTACAGAGTCTGCTCTCGGCAACGCAGGGTCCCCACCAACAACAAATCCGGGGCTCCTGCCCCGTGCCCTGCTGCCCCCGGGCTGTGGTGCCCAGCACCAGGGGGTGGCATCATGCCACAGGCCTGGGCCTGCTGCATGGGCGAGCTGGGGTTCATTTAGCGCCAGGCGTTGCTGGGACGAGCCCCCTTTCAGGCCTCATTAAGCCCATCGAGGACACACTGAGGCCTGAAGCCGAGAGTCTTTCAAAGAGCCTTGCCAGCATCGCATCGCCCTGGAAACGCAAACACAGCATCCCAGGGAGCCTCTCCCGTGCGTGCCCTGGGCTC